GAGAATTTTGGTTCCGATCCTTTTGCTGGTAAAAGACTTCCAATACTATGATAATTTTGACCACCCAATCTGAAATGTATGGAGCGTTTCCTCTATTGATTGAAGAATCAATTTTACCACCCATCGACGTAAAAGAAAACATTGAATTGTAACGTCGAATGTTTTTCATGAAGTGTTTGCTTTTTGAATCCATATTTCGGAACATTCTTTCATAAGTCGGGGGTGCTTTCTTTAAATCTGGAAGTTGAACTTTGTCGTAAGCACAACATAATGAATAATCCGTGTTCCCCTTTTCTTTACCTCTAATGGATTCATTTCTCCATAACTTTGCACGACATGTTTGACATACAACATCTTGATCACCATGATCCAAATATTTTGTAAAATAAAAGCGTTGAATAAAATATCAATGAATTTTATAAGTATATACAACATAGTATTTGAAATGTAAAATGGATATTATTTTTTGATTACCATTTGAGATACCAACTATAAGATTTTCATTGTTCACTTGATGTATATTTTCTACATCTTCTGTCAAATCAATCAATGGGATAGGGGATAAATGTCTCGTCTTCGTTTTTAATTTATGACATCCTGGATTTAACTTGATTGATGATGAAGAAGTGATTACTGTAGATGCATTTTTTGATGTCATTTCATTTGAAAGTACATAGTACTGTCTTCTGTTCGATAACTTGGAAGTGACATATTTATCGAAACTGATGTTATCTGACCAAAAAAAAGTATAATATATATATATATATATATATATATATTATATATATAAAATGGATAATAGTATATTTTAAAAACAATAAATAATTACCATTTCTAATGTTAGATAACAGATTTTTAACATTTGTAATGTTAGATAACGGAGTTCTAACATCTGTAAAGGAAGGAGAGTATTGTATGGTTGTATTATGCATTCCAGGTGAAGTAAATGAATTGACATTTTGAGTTTGACCAACAATGTTGGTTGATTGATCTGTAAATAGCAACAACTTATAAAACTTGTAAAAATATGTATAAAACAAAGTAACAGTAAAACATAGAATATAAAATAATAATAGGGTTACAGTTAATTATATTATTTAAGAGATGCAGTATTGATGTACTTGGAACGTTCAATGTTGTTTTCATTTTCTTCGATCTTTTATTTTCCAAATATATTTTTCTTTGTCTTCTTTTCTCTCGGGCTTGCATGTGGTACATGTTATTGTTGTTTTCTGCATAAGAACACATAGGATAGGATATGAAATGTGAAATTAGGTAAATAATATGATTATATAATACAATTGAATAAATAAACGTACCTTTGTAGGCATCGGTTACCAATTTCGAAGAATATTGATTTGCAGCGGACGAAGAACTTGACAATTTATCTATTTTTTTTATGTTAATACATGTGTTATTTATTTAAATAAATTCAATGTTAGTTAAAAAATAAGAAATAATAATAATAATGTAAATTTATTTGAAAAGTTACCTTTGTTAATTGAAGTATTAACCGATGTAGTTGTTGAAGTATTTAATTTTGTAGTCTTTTTAGAAGAAAGGGAATGCATTGTATGTCTGCAACCTTAAGAGATAAATGAGATTACTTTAAAAATTAAAATATTTAAGAAATATCAAATTAGTAGTTTATATAATATTTATATAACAAACAAATATGTATAATGTGAATTTGTAGTATATTTAAGTATTTTTGTTAAGTATTGGCAAAAACGGTACAATAAGATTATATAATTTTTTTTTTAATTTGTTTAATACAATGGTTTTGTAAATCTCCAAATATTAATTTAGTCATGTATTATTTTTTTAAAAAATAAGTCAATTGAAATCTTTTTAAAATTTTAAATAATATAAAATCGAATTTTTATATTTGTTTATATTGTGTAAAAGTGAATTTAATTAAAGATATTAAAGTTAACATGAGTCGGAGTCAGATCCAAAGCTAAATATGGGTCGGAGTCGGATCCAAATAAGAGTCGATACCCACAGGCACTGTCAGTCGTCACATGTCTTGTATATGCAGAAAGAAACCGGGTCAAGAAATCGCAATACTCTCCCAACAACTCTCTTTCTACAGACGTCTTCTTTATCACTCACTCTCTCTATCTTTCTCTTTCTGTGTGTGTCTTCCTATCACTCACTCGCCGGTTAACCCTCAACTTATTTCCTCGATTCACCCACCATCGATTGCGTTCAACAACGCATGAAACGGAACCTTGAAGATTTCATCTACAGTGACCTCTCCTCATACGACTTAGTCTCCGTAAGGATGATAATAGACGATCCTAACCCCGACTCTCCTTATTCCACTGCCTACCTCAATTCCTTCCCTGATGTGCATCACCAGTAATCATCGTCATTTCCAACATAGGGCTTATTCCATTTCCATTTGTTCTTTCCCCAATTTCAACCAATTTTGCGTTGGGATGATATGAGGGGGTAAAACCCTAGTTCTCCATGGAAACCATGAAGATAAAATCGTTGGATATACGAAAAGTGGTGATGATTAAAAATGGATTATTGATTCTAAACATCTATTCGAGCATGCTTGTTACAGTTAGTAGGAATGAATGTCTATTTAGAAGAGGTAACACATTTTTTTTCCGAGTATGTAGATATTTTGATTAAACTTCAGTTTGTGACATCTGTTTCACAAGAGATAACACTTTTTTTTTTTACAGTATTTGCAGATATTGTGACAGATGAAGAGATTCAAAAACCTTGTTTCAAAAGATTAGAGCTTTAAGAACTTGATGGAACTTTACAAGGTAGATAATATTTTCTTAGTCAAGATGCCTTTTGATCGATGTTTTTCTTTAGTTTGGTTGGAATTGGAATTCAATTCCATTCCAACATTTAGTTGCAAATGAGTATGGAATTGGAATCCAATAAATCGATTGACTTTCAATGTTCAACAATAAATCCATACAGAAACCAATGTAATCTAAACTCAAAAGACTAACCTGATATATGAATATGGAAATCTTGCAGGAAGTAAGAGGGCTTTAAAATGAAAAGCAGTTGACGTGTGAACTGAAATGAGGAATAGAACTTCTATGAAGCAGATTGCTGTAACTTTGAGGAAATAAGATTCGTAGATGCAATTGAAAGACAAAGAAGACGAATGAGGATTTTCAAAATGATTGATTTCACGTTCTGAGGTATATTTAGAGATATAAACTTATTCACATAATAATATCTTCAAAATATACTCCCAGATTTTATGAATTTATTGTTGTTGAATTTTTATTGGATAAATTTATGTTCCAGATTTTATGGGATTTAATAGATTACAAATCAATTAAATTTTAATATATGATTTGAATTTAATAAGGGATTACCGAAAATTATGAAACAATATTTTAAATAGACGAAATTTATAGAGGATATACATATACTATATATGGTGCAACCATGAGAGAAATGTATTATTTACTTGTATGTGTATTTTGTTCAAATATAACGTTTTTAACAATGTGAACATATAAAAGTTATATAAGTCTTTATTATAAAAAAATAATTAATTACAAATCACCTAAAAAACAGAATATATTAATATACATATTACTTAAAAAACAATGCTATATTATTCAGTTTTGGTCCAAGGGAGAGATTAACACTGTAAAAAAAATATTCATAATAACTCATACGCTATATTATGAAATCCATGTGTATGTTTTGTTTCAGAATTCATAATTTTTCTTGTATGAATACATGCATACGATCATAAGACTTTAATAAAAAAAATAGTTAAATTCTTCTGTTTGTAACCCAACTTTCTCTGTTTGCTTTTGAATATGATACACGAAATAAGGAAAAAAGTCTGCCATGCTTGTTCCTTTTTGCTTGACTTGATTTAGGATGTATTATTTTATTAAGAACAAATCAAAGATATGTCCTTCAAAAACTGCATAAAAACTTACCCACGTGAACATGTTTCCAAAAGATGCATGATGTGTCCTTTTCATTCCAATAAACATGTATACCTTGATATCCTTTAAACAATCATTGTCTTGTCTTCTTACTATAACATTATACAGTGGATTGTGGTTTGGAAACTACTTGATGCAAACAGAGAAATTAAAAATTTAAAGTATATTAATATGACTTCATGATAAAGCATGATTTAACTTTTCATTACTTTCATTGCATGTAATTTGACTTCATAAGCATGATGTAACTTTTAAATACTTTCATTGCATGTAATTTGACTTCATGCGGCCAATAGTTTTTAACTTTTTGCATTTGTCTACTACACTCCTTTTTGTAATATTAATTAGTGTATCTTTCATTAATTTAAATGGGGAACCAAAATACTACATAAAACATAACATGTTTAATAGGTTTGTCTCTCCCAAATAAGAAAGGACATTAGTTTTTGCTCCTCCATCTTGTGCATGCTTCCCACCAGATGCGTTTCCCTAGAATGGAATTGATACGAATTGCAAATGAAGTAAGTCAGATAAACAGTAAGTACATAAATGAACTCATGAAGGCATTTTTTTTGCTTGAAATGGTCAAAAGTGTTGGAATAATTGTTGTTGTGATTTTGCTTTTCATATGTGAAACACAACATTTATACCGAAATTGCCCCTGCAACTTCCAATTAGATAACATGACAAATAGTAATCCGAAGTTAGATATCATGAATTACTAGTGCAAATGCTTTTTTTTTATAATCCATTAATACGTCAATAAACCAATAATAATTGACATCCTAAATATCCAAAAATAAAAATAATACCAAACAATGAAAATATCTTTAAAAGCAAATAAACATCAAAATATATTAAATGTGTGTTAAAACCAAAACCAACTAACTTGTCCACTTTAAAACAATAAAAATATCCAAATATATCCAAAACAAATAATAATTGCCATCCTAAATATCCAAGAATAAAAAGCATACCAAACAATTAAAATATCTTTAAAACCAAAGAAACATCAAAATATATTAAATGTGTGTTATAACCAAAACCAACTCACTTCTCCACTTTTGGAATTAAGAGTTGAGTTTCCTCTCCGATTGATTTTCTTTTAGCCTTAGTTGAACTTAAATCATCTCCGGAATCAACGTCATAAATGTCTTGGAGGTTGCGCTTCAAATCAGTTGATATTTTGCTAGGACTTGTTGCGGTTGATTTATCAACTGTTGATGGTGTAAAACTTTCATCTGTTTGTGAGATCACATCCTAAATTTTTTTTTAAAAAAAATAAGTATTTAATTGGAACAATTAAATATAAAAAAAAGTTAATGAAAGAAATTGAAAAACCTTTTGAACAGGCTGTACAACATCATCTGATTCCAAAGGCACTTGATTTAAGGAGACGGATTCAATACTCTACAAAATTAAATGGAAATATGTTAATCGTTATGTATTTAAATAGTAAACAAATATAATTGGTGAACCCTAAAATGTTTTGTACCATAAGTTCTAATTTACTTTCCAATTCTGAAACAATGGATACATCTTCTGTAAGCTTGAGAATGGTGTAGATATTATTATAGTTGTTGACATTGTATTTTGTAATATCTACAAGAAAACCAAACTTGCGGTTTTTCAACACGTTAAGTTGCATTGGAAATAGTGCATCACTGTCTCCAGCCTGTAAGAAGATTTTTAATATTATAACAAATTAAATGTTTTATGATATTAATATATGAATAATATAATATACCGCTTCATGTATCTTTTTCAACTCGTATGCACTTATATCTAACAACCTCTTTGCTTCTCTATCAAAAAGAGTCAATCCGATGGTGCCAGTACCATCTTGTACGTTGATTGAAATTATATACCTTAAAAAAACAATTAGATAAATATTAATTATCTAGAAAGTTTGAAACAATTAATATAAATATAAAAGTGTTTACTTGATAACTGTATGAAAATCCGAATTGTTGCAACTTGGATCTTTACACTGAACAACAACAGTTTCTGTAATTTTGTGAGGGTCGGTATAGGAATGATTTGGTCTTGGAACTGGAGTTATTTTTTTTCCACATTTGTAGCATGCTTCGTAATACCATCGTAGATTCTGTCTTATATTAACGATTGAAGCAACTAACAAAAATTTCATTTCCTGTATTTAATAGCATGTAAAGTTAGAAAAATACATAGTGTAAAAAAAATAAAAAGATATCAAATAATGCAATGTACCTTCAGCGGTTCTGTGATCTCACAAATTGTTTTTAATGGGAAAGTGCCCTTAAAGTAATCTGTATATGAAGAAGAGTAGCTTTGGAGTTAAGTAATGCTTTTTTCAGATTTACCAACATTGTCATCAGCTTTCAATCTGTAATGTTTAAAATAATTTGTTAAATCATAGGATTTGTGTTAGTGTAAATTAAACAAATAACAGAAATCAAAGAAACTAACTTTTTCTTGTACTCATTAATTTCAACAATGTCAGAATTTATGAACATTTTGGTTACTTCAAAATGACTTTTAGCTTGACCAACTCCTGTAAAATTAAAATAGCAAATCAATAACAATTATACAAAAACAAATATATATATATATATATATATATATATATATATATATATATATATACTTTTCCATAGGTTCTATGGAAAATGAATCATTAGGGCATCAAGTTAAGAACCAATGAGAAAGTGACACATGTTACCTTATTGATTAATAGGTAAATCACATGAATGGCCCCTGTGATTTGGATAATTTGTAAGTTTCTTCTCTAACTTATTCTTTTTAATTTGAGATCGTCCTTATGATGAATACGGTTATATATTAAGTAACCACCAACCGTCACTAGTTTAAATAATTTCAGAATTTCACCTTTAATATCCACGTTTTCATAAATACTTCGGATGTAATGATTATCAAAACTTAATCTTGCTAGAATTCTTAATGGAAAAATCAATTTTCTTGACTTTTTGCGGTTATACTCATTAAAAAACGGTTGAGGAATATATACGTACGGTTATCAATACAGTTACAATTTATGGTTTTTAATTGTTTTAAGAAATATACATGTGTATACCCCCACTTAATCCATTAGAGTATTGAATAAGAATTAATTCTTTGATGCTTTCACGATAATAGAAATTTCTTATATTAAATTTAATTAATAGTATTTATTACAATAAAACGAATGAATCCCAATTCGTACGTTAATGAAGATGGCAGTTACTATCCTTATAAATCCATGATTGAATGAAAGTGGCGGTTACAATTGGGTTGTGAGTATTAAACAACATATTCTTGGATTTTGGATGAGAGAAGTTCGTTATTGCATTCTAACACATTAATTGAGAACTAATTTAATGATGACCGTTAATCTCATGTTTGGGACTAAACACAAAAATTACTACAAATCATAAGGACCATTTATGTAATTTGATGTGTTGGCATTTTTTGATTGGTTCTAATATTTGTTGCCCTAATTATTCATTTTCCATATAACCTTTCCATATATATATATATATATATATATATATATATATATATATATATATATATATATATATATATATATATATATATATATACAAACCATCCCAAATATTAAGCTTTACAAACTGCATCACTATAACAACACAAATAACCGTCGGATTATCTTTTAGGTATTGTGACAGCTAGTATGCTTGAGTTCCAAAGATAGTAACCTTAAGATGTACAGACCTAAATAAACAATGAAAATAGTTAATACTATTAAGTTGTGATTTAATTAAAGATAATAAAGGAATAAAAATAATATAAACTCACTCTAGGTTGCTAAGTGTGAGTTTGATATAATGTTTGGATGCTACAGGATTTGATGTTTTAAGCGGTCGAATTGAGACAATCTGTCCAATAACATCTACACAAGTATAACACAAGTTATACTATTGCATTAATATTAAAACATTAAAATAAAAAAATGTATAATAAAGAACACAAGTCAAAAAAGTAATTGGAATAAAATTTAATAACTAACCAAAGAATGCGTCCCGTGGGCATGTTTGTTCTATGATTGAATTAAAATCAAGAAACATAAATCCATTCACTGGTCCTGAGAAGTCGTCACATATTTTTAGGATACTTTTCCAATCCAAAGTTAGTGTTTGCTTATGACCTGTATAACTAAAACCATTAGTAACAGCCGCCATATTGGGTTTTATAATTATATAAGTTTCATTTTCCTTTAATAAATGAACAAATCTGGAGAAATTCTGATTGAAGACATGAGAATGGTATTTTGTACCTTGTTCAATCTAATAAATAATAATTATCTGTTTGTTGCAACATATGTAATATTGAATGGGCAAGAAAAATATAAGAAATACAACAAACCTCCTCGTCCATTAGGATCATTTCAATTGAACAAACCCTATTATTTTTGGTAAAGTTCCACATTTTCAGCACCTGTATCTTGATGTGTGAATTATCATCAATTTGATCAATGTTTTTTAGGTAAACTTTCTTCCCTATATTCATTTCCTGCAAAACGATTGAAACCATATAGAAATGTTAGCAAATAGCATATTTGTAAATTAATATATGCAATTATGGAATATATACAAATACATACTAAAATGGTTCCTATTTAGTAGAAATATAGCAAATAAGATAACAGAAAAAAATTGTTTCAGAATTCCTTCATTGTGTGATTATCATATTTATTACCAATTGAAACACAACATTTATACCGAAATTGCCCCTGCAGCTTAGAATTAGATAACATGACAAATAGTAATGACAAGTTAGATATCATGAATTAGTAGTGCAAATGTTTTTTTTTTATAATCCATTAATGAAGTAAGAAAATATTGATCCGTATAAAAATAAGATAACAAAATGAATTTCTGTAAATAAGATAACAAAAAAAAAATAACTGTTTCAAAATGGTTCGATATCTGTACAGTAATAAGTAAAAAAATATTGGCATTTCTTCAAATATAACGTTTTTAAGAGAATATATTAATATACAGATTACTTAAAAAACAATGTGAACATATAAAAGTTATATAAGTTTTTATTAAAAAAAATAATAATAATTACAAATCACCTAAAATAACAGTAATCTGGTAAAACTCATACGCTTTAAACATAGATGACCCATGGCCAAACTTAGATTAATTTAAAAAAAAAATAACATATATTAATATACAAATTACTTAAAAACCCAGGAGCCCTAAATCGTATTGTCCCTATGGGAATAGTTTCAACAACATTGGTAATAGGAAGGAATTGTGAAGTTCTGGGCAAGGAGATAGGGAAAGGTCATAACCATTGTGGAGGTCAAAATGGTCCTTTTAGCAGGTAGCAAACACTTTTAATTCACTTTCAAATAAAATGATGGCATTTTTAATAGGTATCAAACATATCGGTGATGCTTGTATCAATATTTAAAGAAAACAATGTCAAATAGACTGATGGCTTTTTTCAGGGTATTCCAAATACTGGTTCAGGCCGAATTCTTTCTCTTTTTCTAATTTTCAGGCTATTCGAAATCCATTATTTGTTATAATGTAAAAGTAAAATGATTATTTAGTTTCATTCGGGTTACTACAAAAGGATATTTATTAAATAGTAGATCGATTTTATATGAAGTGATGTGAAAGTACAATGCTATTAACAGAAAATAATTTGTGTACTTTCAAATGGCCTGTGAAATCGGATCTTAGAGCAAAAATGGGACTTGGTAGGCAAATTCGATTGTACAGGTAAAGAAGTTATTGTATATTGTTTAAACGGGGACTATTCTTTATACATTTAAAATACAATCTTTTAATGAAAATTTGAGTAAAAAAGTATAATGATAAATGTCATAAACATAAAAAAACAAAGTATGAAAGTAATTTTGGTATAATAATTCATTGTCAAATGTAAATAACGTAAACAGTAACACTGTAAAGTTTTTAAAGTGGAAGAATTAAGTACATAAACATCAAAACTATGAAGAATATATGCAGCTATGAGAATTTTTACAAATGCATGAATTCAGTTTGCTAACCTTGTGTAGTTGTTCTTGTCCTGGAGGATGAATATGCAGCAAATGATGAGAAACCCAAGGAAATTATAACCGGTACAGAGACGAAGGATTGAATACCGTTTGTAAGGAGTTCTCTGAAGCAAAATGGCGAAGAAAATAGAAGCGTAAAGAATGAATACTGCTATATATTTCGGTATGATTTTATTGGGTGCAGATTTTTTTGGGACTTATTGACCGGATAATAATTAGCTTCCCATTATAATAAACAAACTTCCATATTTGCATTGGATTGGATATGAACGAATTTTAAATTTGAAATTAAGATTTCTGCATAATTATCTTTCCGTATACTTTTAATTGTTGCAGATTTTTCGGATTTATTGATTGACTAAGACTGCATATGAATATGATCTGGAAGGCAGTTTCGTAAATGTAGATGAGGAAAATAAGCGGGAAAAAACGATTTAGGGCTGCTGAGAGATTGACACGTGGACAGAATGTACTTATTTATTAGGATAGGGGATATATATATATATATATATATATATATATATATATATATATATATATATATATATATATATATATATATATATATATATTCCAAAAGCTCTTCCTACTTAATTATAGATAAAACCACATAGGCTTGTTGAGACATTTTTAAAGCTAATGGACAAGTCATTTTTAAAAGTGCTTTTAAGATTGTTAAATATTTTTGTTTACTTATTTGTTTTTTTTTCAAAAAACCAGTAAATCAATAAGTTGTTTTAAAAAGCAATCCTAACCACCTTCTTACAAATATGAAACAAAAGGTTAACCTTCCACATGGACATACCCATAATTTTGGGTCGTAGACACGTGGTCATATGTGTGCTGAGTCCAGGGGCGAGGTTATGTAATGTGAAGATGTGTCACATGACCTACCTAATTTTTTTTTATTTTACTTGTAATTTTAGATAGAAGAAAGAAATTAAGGCCTATCCTATAGGATTGGACAAACAGAGCAAGAAAAAAAAATAGATAGAGTATATATATAATAAAAGACATATTATATTTGATAGCATAAAAAGAATCCCACATAAAGTAGTTGGAGAGTTTTCATCATAAATAGATGTTTTCTCTTACTCATTTTAACATCCTAGTCATACCGACTTATTTCAAGGATAAATTGGTTTTAGTAAAAAAAAACGATTTAGGCTCCGACCTTTTACCACCGCTTTTTATACACATTGAAGCCATTATTTTTCAAATTAAACTTGGTTTTCTCTTTAACCAATTTGGTTGAACCCACTTAAAAACCACATATTTTCTACTATAGACTCTCAATCAGGTTAAGATTCAACTAATGGTCAATGAGTTCAAGCGACACTCAATCATATCAAATACATCAATATTGTACAAAAAAGATAAATATACTCCACACTACATAAATTACACATCAAGTTAACACACACACACACACAAAATCATAAACACTTTAAATACAAAAAATTAGACAATTGATGTTGTGATTATTTGATATTTTATCTCTTCTGAAAATTGAATGATTTGATGCAATAAGCAAATATAAACCCAAAGACCACAACCAATCCCACGTGAACTCCGGCAATTGTGCCCAGAAAATCGTGTTTGTAGCCTAAATACCGATCCAGATACCCTTTCACCGTCTCACCGTTCGTAAGCACATCGTCATAGTCGCCAAACTGCGACACCACCATGCCGTAGATGGTCCACGCCATCGGATTACACCAGTAGTACCACCGCCACCACACCGGAATTTTCTGTTGCAATTGGAACAAAAACCCTAATAATGATTAGCGATCAAGAATGAGGGGCTAATGTTATTCACAATTGAGATGAAAAGATCAAGAAACCTACGGGTCGTGGAATGATGAAGCCAGAAAACAGGTTGAAAAACCCGTAAAATGAAGCTGCGATAATGGCGGCAATGTTGGCGTTGGGGGTGATTGCCACCGTCATCATGCCGTAAAACGTCATGTAGAGTAGACAACAGAACTGGAAGAAGAAGTAATAGAAGAATTTGGCGGCTGTCCATTCAAACCCGATCATGGCGTACACAATCAGACTATAGAAGGCGGTTTGTGCAAAAACGTAAGGTACTTCGACCAGAACCTACGTAAACCAGAAAATGTTCAGAATCTTGAACATATAATCACTGGTAAGCATTCAAGTCTGTTCTTTTTTTTTTTTTAACAAACTTTTTTTTCCCAATTAGGTCATTTGGTAACAGGAAATTAGATTATCTAGTCACCAAGTACTTAAAAATGTTAGTTTAATTGTTTAATTGACAAAAAGTAATTAACATAAGATTATGCACATATAGCAAACCGCCAAGTGTGATTTAGGGGATGTTCATATGCGTCCTATGGGGTCAGCCTCTTAAGAGGGGTCACAATTAGAAGACTCTTATTCAATCTTATAGAGTCTGATGCCTTTTATTGGATCTGATAAGAAACCGGGTTCGACTCAGACCTTGACTCGATCAGATTTGACTTAATTGGTAACTATCAAACACCCATTAATTCACAAAAAAATAGAAATTTTGCTGAATGTGAACAAGTAAATTAACCCTAAATAAAAAGAAGTTGGTATAATCACCTGTGCGAAGGCATATGGTAAAGCGGAATACATTCCTGCAGCTCGTTCTCGATAAAAGACAGTGCGTTCGACATCCACAACAGGCTGCACTGCCGATGCATTTTGGACTCCTAGGAAGAGAACCGCCGTGTACATAGAACCCATTGCATTAGTTAGTTGTTGTTGGGTTTTCCTGAATACACAAACAAAATTATTGAATGATTAATTATAACAGTGTAACAAAAACAAATGATTAGGGTTTGAGTTTGGGTTTTTACCGTTTACCACCAAGATCCCAAAACATGGTCCCAAACACGACCCCGATAAAGGTGGTGAAAGCAAAACGGACAGCAGTGTAAGGAGGGTTCCGCCAGTAGGACCACCGCTGTTTCCATAGGCATGCGATACACTGGACCATGAAAGGTTGCGCGTATTGGGTTGGGAAATAAAGATCTTTTGTATCGGGACGTGATATGCTTAGTTCAGCAATAAGAGCCTTGTTTCTCCTGTGAAATATACGGCGATCTTGCTCAGAAACTATTTAACTTTTGTTAAACATATTAAAACAAAGTTGTACTGTTTTTGACACGCATTAGACTAAGATTCTATGCTAATGGAACAAAAATTGTAAAACTTTGTCCCACCAAAAAAGGCGGTATAGAGGGACCCGCTCTCGATCTCTAGTCTATGCAAAATACGTGGATAACCTCTTTATCCTCATTATCGAAAATAACCCTAGAAAACTTGTCAAGTTCTTTTCAATGTAATAAATGAAGTTATAAACATAGTGCAATTGAAGTACTCACCGATAAAGTTCGGAATTCCTATAGATTTCGGTGAAATCAACTCCAAGAGACAATTCTTGAGCAGTGGTACTGACTTCCAACATCCATGTTGCGGGGTTATATCCATCTTTAATCCTACTCACCCCGTTGATATCCTGGTTCACAATAACAATTGGGTTTTACCACTTTAGTTTCATACTGCTTATCATTAACATATATACACTCCATAAGTTGAGTATCTTACCTCAAAATATCTTATCAGTTGGCAAGAATGACGACCCACGGGTCCCACGTACAACTCTTGTCCACCTCTTTTCATCAAGAATAGCTGCACAATATTATTAGATGATAACTCAGCTGCTTAAAGGGTAGCGAACTATATTTCCCTAGAAAAACTTAGGTTGTGTTTGACATGCGTTGGACTAAGACTCGTGTCAATGAAACAAAACATGAAGACAAAAATGTGGATTTTCCAAATGTACCTCATCAAAAGCTTCAAATATATCGATGCTAGGTTGATGGATTGTGCACACAACGGTTCTACCCGTGTCCACGGTGTTCCTAACAGTTCTCATCACAATAGCAGCCGCTCTAGCATCAAGACCGGACGTTGGTTCATCCATAAATATTATAGACGGGTTAGCCACCAGCTCAACCGCTATGGTTAACCGCTTTCGTTGTTCGGTTGATAGCCCATTTATACCTGGCAACCCAACTAGTGCATCTCTCAATGGAGTCAGTTCCACAAGTCCCATAACTTCATCAACAAACATCTACAAACAACATTCAAATCTTATTATCTTGAAAAACCCAAAAAGAATGTAATCGACTTTCAGCACATGACTAACCTTTCGAGTTCCTTCATCATCAGTTGATAACCTTAGCCAAGCCGAATATAGCAGAGACTCGTAAACAGTTACATAAGGCGAATGAATGTCGTTTTGCTCACAATAACCGGAAATCCGAGCAAATGTTTCTTGTTTCTTTGGATACCCGGAAATCCTGATGTCACCTTCTATATGCCCACCCGTTTTTCGACCTGCGAGTACATCCATTAAAGTAGTTTTACCTGCACCACTCACCCCCATTAATGCGGTCAAAACCCCTGGTCGAAAAGCTCCACTCACTCCCTTTAGTAGTAGTAACCGATCTTCATTCAATCCCTGTTCTCTCATTTCCTATAAAAAACATAAGAACACTCTTAGGATTTGAAATTTTTTCTACTATAAGATTGGGTTTTTTAAAGAAACAAAAGTCTCTTGCAAGTTACCAGTGGCATATCGACTGAGTATTTGACATCGTTGAAGGTAATGCAATGTGGTTCGAATGGAAGAATCATTCCTTTTTTCTTCTTTTGATTGCTCCCACCACCTGGTGATGTTAACTCAACCGCTCCTGTGCCACTCTGGGTTTGTGTTGATACGGTTGATCGAGATTGCCCAAAAGCTATGAATTGTACACTAAATGTTACTGAATGGCTACTACGCTTATAGTGGTATTTAAGTATGAAAATGTAGAAAAAATACTCACGGTTGAGAAAAGCGAGAGACAAAGCAAAACAGAAATTGTAGACCAAAATGAATCCGATCATTGCCACCACTGCAATCCAATACCAGTAGTCTTCTGCAAAGAACCCTCGAGCAGTGATCACGGATTTCCCGAGTGTAGTATCGTTTAAAGTCTATAAACATATAGAAAAATTAAGCTTTGGCATATCAATACATCGATGTGGAAGCATATATATTGTAATATCACATCCTAGGTGCACTTCAGATGTTACAAAAATAGTATTACCTTTTTCCACTGATGCCCAAGAAATTCATTAGCGACAATGCCATTCATGGCGTACATCATTGGAGATGACCAATAACCCCACAACCACCATTTCTTTATATCGTCTGTAACAAGGAAAACATGGCTGTTATACGTAAAGGGATAAAAAAAAATGGGATTTTTTTTGGTTTTCAATCAAGTAACTTGTAAGTACCTCGTGAAAGGACAAAACCACCCAACGCAAAGACTAAAAGAAGGGCAAATGAACCAAAAGTGTTGGCAACAATCATGTTCCGACCCAATGCTCCAATAAATCGAAACAACGCAGAAGACATTTGGTTAACAAAAAACAGTAAAAAGTACTGCCGGAAGAATCTGTAAAACGCAAAAATTGGGTAAGAAGGGTATAAGATGAAACAAGAACATGAAATTTGTAAATCTTGAGAAGTTATACCGATTGATATTAGGATCAAATCCTATGACATAGTAAGTAAGCATCGTCCACAAAGCAGATTCAATAAGCGAAACAGGAATCTTGATGACCCATGACGGAAGAGCATATGCCCATGATGGATAAAATAAGAAGTCCCGTTGCTTGTAGTATACGGGAAGCTTTGCAATTGTCATTGAGATCTCAGACATCCCATTAAACATGATCATAACCACACCAAAAAATAGAGCACCCGTATATAACCCTCCATCTTCTACATTACCTCTATGCAACTCAGTGCGGAAAAACACCGTCATACAGACTAACGCCATGATAAATAACTGAAATAACAATCTTGATTAGAGCTAAGCATAAAAAAGCAAGCATTTGTAGCGAAAATGATACTCACTTGGGACAATTTGAAGATGTAAACAAAAGAATTTCTCTTCATTAGCAATATTTCTCTATGGGTGCAAGCTTTCAAGAGGTCTTTCTTGTTTATTCCGTATTTCTTACTTGTAAGGGCAGCAGGGTGGCTTCTTGCTTTGTCATATGTGGAGGCAATATCTTCCCCGAGTCTTTTCCCGACATGGAAGGAACGAAATGCATCGGAGAACTCCTTGGCTGTCACAAATCTGTAATGCTCGTTTCTTCTCATCCAATATTGCTGCTGATCTTTCTTCGATGTCACCTATAACATAATTTCCACATCTCAAAATTTTGTAAAAAACATATGTTAACCAGATAGATATGTGGTGAGGTAGAACTTAAGTAAATAACAAAAAAATGTTTCGGGTTCACTAAGAGAGAAGTTTTAGTGATCTATATTTGATATGTTTTGCTAAATTTCAGAAAATTAAAAATTGACAACAAATTATTCAAATAAAATGCGTAATCAATCAAGCGATTTAGGGAAATCATAGAAATCACGTGATTTTACGGTTAGAAAATTCAAATTGGAGTCCAAAACAGTAAAATTGGGTCTGACAAATGGGACAAACGGCCTCTGGCGGTTTTTTAGAAGCTCCAACCAACTGAGAGCTTTCAGACCATATAAAGTGGGACTCGTAACTATTGAAATATCAAAATTTATGCATTTTTTAAATTAGGCGTCTTTCCACCACAAATGTCTCCAAAAGAACCCTTTAAAAGAGATAGAGCAGACTTCAACATAGAGAGGCAGAAGACACCAGCTATAATATTAATACCAAGTTAGATATTGGGATTCCTAAATTTTCCCTCCAAAGAGTCTTTATGGAGAAGGTAGACTCCAAAACATATAGAAGCAGATGAGGCTGTGTCCAATGTGGGACGTTAATAACTTGTTAATGTGAAGTGAACTAAATCAAGGGGAAAAGAATGAGAACATACTTCTTGCAAGAAATCAGCAACACCTTTCCTCTCGGGGCATTTAAACCCCAAAGATTCAAAAAACTCGAGCACATTATCACGTGGTCCTTGGTACACGATTTTCCCATCTGTCAAAAGGATAATGTCATCGAATAAATCATATGTCTCGGGTGCAGGCTGGAGGAGGGAAATGACAGCTGTTCCTTCAAGGATATGAAGAAATTGTCTGAGTGATTTCACGATTTGGAAAGTTGTAGAGCTATCCAAACCAGTGGAAATTTCATCCATGAGAAGAACGTTTGATGGCCCAACTATCATTTCACCCGTTGTAACTCGCTTCTTTTGGCCACCAGAGATCCCGCGTACCATTTGATCCCCAACCATGGTATCCGCACAAATGTCCAAACCCAACAACTGCATGAGAAATAACTTAAATTAGATTTTATAAATAATTAATGTTTGTAAAAAGTTAATCTAAAGTTCATACCTTGATAGTGTAATCTGTCATCACACTTGCCTCTTGACGTTCAGATGCTGCAGCCTTCATAAAAAAATAGAAGTATCAAATTTAAGTCATAAAGAATTACGAAATAAACGAAAGACAAAATTGACCAAAATGGTTTGTTGTGGTATGGACATTTCAAAAAGCAAATTTGCAATTCGAAAAATCTCTATTGTGAATATCCCTATGTTGGGTAATCTTGACATGGGTCATGGGTTTATTGGAGTTATGGGTATGGGTAAAAGGGTAGTATTTTGTTTGATTTATTTAATGTTTGAATAAAGGACTTTTGACCAAGTCTAATGCAGAGAAACGTTGGTATACTTGGTCTTGGAGTGTCCTACTTTCTAGTGGGTAGTAGCTAGTTTTTAGTTTAGTATTGTTTAATTTCCGTTGAGTCTTTTGTAGCTATATATATAGCCTTTGCTTTTGTTTATTGGAGTAGCTTTTTGGATATAAAGAAATCAGTTTCCTCTTTCCTCTTTCTTTTCTTTTCGTGTGTAGCAACAACAGGGAACACTTCTTGGTTTTCTTCTTATTTGTTCAAAGGTTGCAGGGCCTGTTCCAACATTTGGTATCAGAGCCCTAGGCTCAACATGTGGGATCTTTGAAGAGGTTCTATGTGAACCTAAGGTTCTATGTGAACCTGTTGCTGTTGCAGTTCTGTGTGAGCCAAAAGCTCTGTGTGAGCCGAGTTCCAAAATAAAAAATCTGTGTGATTGTTTTTCCTTTTTGATCTGTGTGAAGAGAAAGTTGTCTGCTAAGAAAGTGGTGTGTGCTGAGAAAGTGCTGTGTGCTGAATTCAAGGTCTGGGTGAAGAAGACAGAACTTGTGTGGTGAAGCTTTCTGTGTGAAGAAGCTAGTCAAAGTGAGGAAGAAGATCAGAAAACAAAGTTTTGGTGCACCTGCAAGTGTGTATCGGTGGTTTGCAAAATATATATATATATATATCAGAAATAACTCAAGTGTTGGTTGGTTCTGTGCAAGAAGAAAGAGAGTGATCTGTGTGGTTGGTACTTTACAAGAAGAAAGGATCGAGTTAGGGACGATGCCAGCAACAAATCCCGGTGGTGCAAGTCAGGTTGTATCCATGAGCAGTCAAAGTATCCCATTGCAATGCCCCAAGTTAACAGCTACAAACTATACAAGTTGGTCGATTATGGTGGAGTCGATCCTACAAGCATATGGTTTATGGGAAGCGGTTGATCCGGAAACGGGAAGGGCGGTGGAAGCAAAGAAAAATCTAATGGCAAGAGCATTTGTGTTTCAAACTCTACCTGAAGATATATTGCTTCAAGTGGCTAAGCATAAGGATGCAAAAGATGTGTGGGAAGCTCTTCGTGTGCGGTATTTGGGAGCCGAAAGAGTTCAAAAGGCGAGACTTTAAACACTTAGAACCGAGCTAGAGATGTTGAAGATGAAAGAGGGTGACACGATTGATGAGTTTTCAGGGAAACTTAGTGAGATTGCATCCAAATTCAAGAGTCTTGGGTCTAGTTTGGAAGATGAGATAGTGGTAAGAAAACTACTAAATTCGGTTCCTAAGAAATTTTTGCAGATTGTTGCATCTATTGAGCAATACTCAGAGATAGAGGATATGTCACTTAAGGAAGCTGTGAGAAGGTTGAAGGCATATGAAGAGAGAATTAAAGTTCTTGATGAAGATGAGAATGATCCAAATCAAAACAAGCTTTTATTGTCAAAAGAGGAATGGGAAGAGAGAACCAAGCGTGGTAACTTCAGTCAAGATCAAGGAAGAGGTCGGGGTCAAGGAAGAGGTCGTGGTAGAGGTGGCCGGTTCCAAAGCGATGAAGATCGAAGGGAGCAAGGTATGTGTCGAGATAAACGACATATTAAATGTTATAATTGTCAAGAATATGGACATTATGCAGCTGAGTGTCCTAAAAAGGAATTAAAAGAAGAAGTTCACTTGACTGAAGATGATAATGAGCCAGAAGCACTACTTTGAAGAATCAGATTCATGTCAAGATTAAGGGGTTGATTGTTGGGTAATCTTGACATGGGTCATGGGTTTATTGGAGTTATGGGTATGGGTAAAAGGCTAGTATTTTGTTTAATTTATTTAATGTTTGAATAAAGGACTTTTGACCAAGTCTAATGCAGAGAAACGTTGGTATACTTGGTCTTGGAGTGTCCTACCTTCTAGTGGGTAGTAGCTAGTTTTTAGTTTAGTATTGTTTAATTTCCGTTGAGTCTTTTGTAGCTATATATATAGCCTTTGCTTTTGTTTATTGGAGTAGCTTTTTGGATATAAAGAAATCAGTTTCCTCTTTCCTCTTTCTTTTCTTTTCGTGTGCAGCAACAACAGGGAACACTTCTTGGTTTTCTTCTTATTTGTTCAAAGGTTGGAGGGCCTATTCCAACACCCTAAACAAAAAGTTTTTTTTTCCCTATAACTAGACTTCTGGAGATGGGTCCATACCTTCATGAAAACGTCGATGTCAGGATCAGGCTTGATGTTTGCATCTTTCTCTCTTCTTGACAACTCCGCCAACATCTCTGCAATTTATACGAAAAACCCTTGTGCTTTTAATTTTTTTTTTTTTTTTTTTTGGAATTTTCCACATATTGTTATATCCACAATTAAAAATCAGGACAAAATAATCTCAATCTAACCATATCTTGATCCAACCCCTTGGCATTGTGCAGAAAAAGCCAAGGTTTCTCTAACAGTCATTTCTCCAATATGGACATCATTTTGACTGATATAAGCAGAGGTTCTTTCGGGTACAAACTCATGCAATTCATGACCATTGTATGTCACCTTCCCAGAGCTCTACAAAGATTTACCAAATGTCAAAAATAAAGAAAATGGTAATGTTTTAATCTTGAAATCAAGTCATTCAGAACAAGATTTTACCTTAAGCTCCTTATCAAGTTTTCCAGCCAACGCTAACAGCAGTGTTGTTTTTCCAGAACTAGGTGGGCCCAAAAGTAATGTCATTCTAAAAACATGTTTTATTATGTTAGATTTAGTAAAATGATTATAATTAAGTTATAATTTAAGGATGGTTGATGTTCTTTTTTGCTCACCTGCTAGGCTTAACGACCCCGCTAACATCATCAAGGATGGTTATATGTTTTTTCGAATTTGGAAGCATATGGAATAAGCTCAAGAACCCCTAATGGAATCAAACATGGATACATAATTTATAGGGAAAACTTATTTAAAAAATATTTAAGAAAGTTGCGTATATCAAATGATTGGATTCTTAACCTCAAATATATCAATATGGAAGTTCATAAAACTAGGTAGAGCTCTGCTTCCTGTATTGATATCTGCCTCCACAGTCATATGCTCAAATTTGACTTCAATTGTTGGCAAATCAATGCCGACCCTGTAACATTCCCAGTGAAAGTTACAAAATGTAAGAAAATAGAATTCAAAGTTAAGAGAAAACACAGTCTTTTTCATTTTTTAAAAACGTTACATGTTTAATTAAATGAAAGGATAAACATAAATGACATATTTGTAAAAAGTTATGACTCAATGGAAAAACTTCAATTCGTTTCTTTGACTTTTCTTTATTAAATCTTTATTTTTTTGCTTAAGGGGTGTTTGAGATTACTTATCTAAGATGCTAATTAGCTTATTGCGACTTGACCGCTAATAAGTAGGTTTTAGTAGTGTTTGGATAGATTTAAATCATAAGTGTTTATGACTTAATTAAGGAGTTTTGGAGAAGTTAGTCGGTTCTAATTTATCTAAAATAGCTTATGAATTATTTAATCCAATTTATCATATTAACCATATTCTATATGTCTATCTATATCCGGTCCTTATTGGTCATTTTACATCTATAAGCATCAATTTTTAAACTCTAGAAAACAATTTATCAACTTATTAGTTTTTACAAATAAACATAAGTTATCAATAAGCAATCCCAAACACCCCCTAACATAATAATAATAATAATAATAATAATAATAATAATAATAAAATGGGACACTTGAGAAAATATAAAAAGAAAAAAAAAATCGAGACAAATTTGTAGAAGATTATGACTCAATAGGAAAACAGCCACGTTTTGGAGAAATATGTTAAAAAAGAAATCATTTATATATAACTTACAATGAAAGTCATGTTATATAGTTTGCTAGATTAAATTCATCTCAATAAAGAAACAACACCCAAGTACATCATGCTTTCAGATTCGTTACAAACAAACGGTAGTACTTGTTGAATGACACAAGTTGTCAAACTTCAATCCGATTTGACCGTTTGACCCGTTTTAGCATACTGTACTGTTCGTTATGTTGGTACAATGGTTACGCTTCAATAAAGGTGACAAAATGAACAGTGTAATTGGTCAAAATCAAAACGTTTGAATTTTGATTCTTGTTAAAGTTAATGTTTAGCACTTAGCATCATGTTAACCCCTCTTCCATCTTTTTAATCTTATATTTACTTATTAATATTATCATTAAATATGATTACGAAAATGATACCATATATTCAAATGGTAATCGATATTTTTAAGCATTAAATGCCAAATTCCACCCGCTTGACATCATCATATATATCGTTGGAGAAAGAATACAATCAAACAACAAGAAAGAGGAATTTAAAATACCTATCAATTCTGTTCCTGAGCTTCAACAAGAACTTTTCATTATCTTCATCAGCAATCCTTACAAGCCTATCAAGTAATCGTTTTCGATCATTGTAATCAAGATTATCCACATCAACTTCATATGAAGGTCCTCTTGATCCAAAAAGTAGACCTCTTTTCAAACGATCAAAAGTTGGAAGCTTTTCAAGAGAAGCCCATTTAAGAGCTTCTTCATCATTTTCTTCACGAGTAGATTTTGAAAACACATCCATCCCAGAATTCCTCCATACAGAAGTACTTGCAGATCTTAAACTTGACAGCACTCCACTACCGCTACTACTTGCTCTCATACTACTACTAGCTTTATAAATATCACTTCCATCCATTGTAAATCAAAACCCTAAAAACCACTAAAAAGAAATAAAATTTTCAAGGGTTTTAGACCTCGGACACACACACACACACACACAAAGACAGATTTCCTAAAAGGGACGTGAAATCTGATCTGGGTATTCACTTTGATCAAGAAGAGCTTGAAAGTAGAAAGAATCCATCAAGAAAAACTTGAAAGTAGCAAGAATCGATCAAGAACAAAAAGGGTTCTCTTATGAATTTCATTTATAAAGAAAGTGTTTTCCCCACAGAAGCGTATTGTTGGAGGATCTTGAGAATTCGTACACTTCATGCAGGGTCAACACTTAATACTGGCACAACGATTTAAAAGTGTTTTGGGAATCTTCTTGTTCTGTTGGATTGAAGTAATACTTAATTAGCCATGAGTTTTACTAATTAAAATATGATTGCCACGACCATAATACATTCTTTGGTCCGATTAAAAACAAAAAAATTACATCCTTTGTGTAAAACAAATATTTTTTTACTTGATGAAATAATTTAATAGAAGTATGTGATTATTAATCAAGTATTTCCTGATAAAGGTTAAACAAACAAATTTTAAATTAAAGTAAAACACAGTTAGTAATGATAGATAAGTTTGATTAGATTATCATCATTTATTAAACCATCCAAAAAGGTTGTTATAAAATTGCATTATATCGTAATTTTTTGAAATATTACTACCACACCGAAAAAATATAGTTTTTAGAGAAAATGACTTGTGAGGGTAATTACCATTTCGTTTTGTTCACGTTTAGACAACTTCTTCTTTTTTTAGACATTTGACCATTTAACCTGAGCAGGTGACAATGATAATATGTGAACATATTTAACAAGTTAAATGGTTAAATGTATAAAAAAAAATGTTGTCTAAATGTGAGCCATTTTTTTTACAAATTTCTTAAGACTTTTTATAACTTCTTAGAACATTTTTATGATATTTTTTTCTTATAGTTTTTTCTATTATAATGTTTTAAATTTTGCTTATAATTTTTTTCAACTTTTTTTTTTATATTTTCATATAATTTTCATACAAATGTTTTTAAACCAAATATTTTCTAAATGTTTTAAAATTTTCTTACAAGTTAAATTTTTTTTTTTTACATTTTCATATAATTTTTTTATAACTTTCATACAACTATTTCTAAACTTTTTTTTACAACATTTTAAGGATTTCATAGATTTTGTATGACAATTTAATATTTTTTATAACATTTAAAATATTTTTGTTACATAATAGTTTAGAACGTTGTATTAAAAAATTAAAGAGTTTATAAACTTCTAATTAAAAAGTTATAATAATTTTAAAACATTTACATTATATATTTTTTGTTGCGTTTTTTATTTGCTACGTAATATATATTTTTTTTAAAAGACCCTCCATACTTATTATTAGATATTTAATTTATTTAATTTTATTGTTAGATACTATTTAGTTTAAAAATATTACATATGCTTAAAAACAAAAAAAAAAATAGAAGAGGCTTCATAAAATATTTCACAAAAAATATTTATTAATTAAAAAGTAGACTTTAGAATTGATCAATAATTAATTAATATTTATGATAGTAAGTTTTTACTAAAAATAAATTAGTAGAAAATTGATTTGGCAAAATCAAAAGACTATAAATGGGATAAATAATCAATCATTATTGATACTTTAAAACTAACATTTGGAATATGAAAAATAAAATCGTTATTAAAAGTGAGAAAAATAACTTATCAATATATTTATGTTTTTTGTTTTTTTCACATTTTGACAATTTTTTTATACACATTTAACCATTTAACTTGTTAAATATGTTCATATGTTATCATTGTTACCTGGTATAACATGCGACAATGGTAATATGTGAACACATTTAACAAGTTAAATGTTCAAATGTGTAGAAAAAAAAGTTGTATAAACGTGAACAAGACGAAAATGTAATTACCCTCACAAGTCATTTTCCCTAGTTTTTACTAAACAAATATTATAATGATTATTATTTTTAGTAAAATTTAAATAGATCAATCAATTGGTTAGAAGTGAACAAAATACAAACATCGCAATAATGATCAAATAAAAGCTAATTTTGGATCAACTATCAATAAGAAAATTCATATTTTATGAAAGTGGCCAAAATGTTGATTTTAAATATAAATATTATTTCCTTTTTTAAATATAATTAAGAGCACGTGGTGTTGGAGCTGGTTTGGTACCGACAGAATGAAACACCGCACCACCCACTTGGTGCCATCCAAAACCATACCAAATCAGTATGATTATCCTGATGCAAAATTCGCCTAATTAATGCCTCTCCAACTACTTACTTTTCGAACATTTGAAAAAACACATTAACTACCTTTTAAATGTTCTTCATTTTCACACCATTCTTTTACACGACGTTTTCATATACTCTTTAAACTTATATTTTCAAGTTTTTAAAAATGTTTCCAATCAGCACAAGATCCAAGATTGGGCAATGCTAAAAACACAGGTTCAAGTTGCAGCAAAGAAAAATGGAAGGACATGAAAACAAACATCACCAAGTTTAATGGTATTTTCAACAACAAACTTCCCGACGCTGAAGTCGTCAACTGGAAGCCGACCCAACGCGCTCATCGAAGAGGATAAGGGGTTTAACGTTGAAGAGTAGCAAAAACCACAACAAAGACAGAAGAAACCGACATCATCATCTTTTGGATAACAAGATAGGGATAAACAACTACAAAGGATAGATTCTTAATTTATGCAATTCAGTCATCTTAAAAAAGATCTCGATGACAAAAAAAGACATTGAGCAAAGTTATAGGATAATCAAGGAGGAGAAGATACGCTTCATGCAGGAGTACTTGTGGGAAAAATGACAAGATAAAGGTTTGTTGTTCTATCTTCGGCCGCATGAACATTTTTGCGGAACATAGTTAAATGCGAAACTAGAACGTAAGCAAGTAATAACACGATGTCGGGGTTGGGAATAAAATGTAATTTTTATTAATTTACTACTAGTTATTTGTTATATCGTTAACAAAATGTTTTTTTTTTAATTTTAGTCTTCTGATTTTTATTAAAGAAAATATTTTTTATTATTTTAATATATTTCAATTTTTTATTTTGGAAAAGGTTGTAAGACGGGAGGGATGGGCGAACTGATCATTTTCATGTTTGAAAAATGGTATATGATATGAAAAAAAGATAGAATAATTTTGTAACGTCCCAAAAATTGTAAGGTAAAAATTTCATTTTTAATTCACCAAAACATCAATTATCATTTTATTTAACATTTAAAGGTATTTCATATTAAAACAGTCATCAAAGTACAATCCCAAAATCGTCACATTGTGGAAACATGGGTGGATGCGCTGCGATCAAGCCGGGTCCTTCTCTTTCGAACTGGAAGTACCTGAACTGAAAATCGTAAGCACAAAGCTTGGTGAGTTCCCCAAAATACCACATACCGTACATACAATAGAAAATGATATGTGCCAGCCATAGTCTTGTCATTATGCCACGAGTCGTATCATGGTATTTCCTTGTCAGGCCGGGGGCCAAGACCCTATGTCTCACACACAAGTGCCAAGATCCACCTCCTGGTCTTCCATGCAAGCATCACACAAACAACTAGCATACAATCTATATCTAACTATCTACTTATCTGCCAGGGTCCGATCCCTGGTCTTGCATACAAAATTGCCAGGAGCCACCTCCGGGTGTTTCATACAAATACCAAGGGCCACCTACTGGTCTTCCTATAATACATAAGCCAATGGGCCGACATTGGTGCCTTCGACCCATAGTACGGTGATGAGACTCACCTCAAGCCATTGAATATCTCAGATAAAAGCTCAGACTGCTGATCCAGAAAATCATGTCTAACACTATCAGATAATATCTAATTAATAACTGGTCCACGACCCATACTGAAATCCTAGTCTGATGTCCAACCTTCAGGGTAAAAGTCCATTTTTTACCCTTTCCTCACTTTGCTCAAATCCAAAGCCCAATCCAATAGCATCCAAAACCCCAATAAGGCCTAACTTCCTAAATGGCATCCCAAAGCCCAATATAGCCTAATCTTCTAAATTGGGCCCCAAACCCATCATGGGCCTAATTCCAAGAAAACCCAATATACTAGCAAAAGACCAAAATCAGAAGTCTAATGGCCCAATAAGGCCTAAACCCTAAAAGTCCAAAGCATGGCCCAATCTATGAATCGTCAAGCCCAAAAGTCCATCTGCTGAGTACGTGGGGCGTACTCAGCTTGCACGCTTAGCATACTCCATCCGGGGCCAGTACCAGCTGGGTATGCCCAACATACTCCCCATATCACCAAACCACTCCATTAAGCACTTATTCGGTTAAGAAAACATGCCAAACTCTCAAATTTGATCCATAAGGGTGACTTAATACGTAAAGTTGGCAACTTTACACCAATGAATGGCTTAAAGGGACCCAACACTAAAAAAGAAGCTTAGTAAAGCATTTAACACTTACATGGACCAATCTCTTTCACAAAGTTAGAATTTTTATGAACAAGGGACCTCCATGGAGCTAAGATCTAACATCCATTGCTTCTAGAGTAGATCAAAAGCTCAACTTTAACTAAAAAGGCTCAAAAATGCATAAATAACTCCATAAAATAGATCAAGCACAAATGACCATCAAGGTGAGAGCTTTTTACCTGAAAAGGCTTGTAAAGGTGAAGGTAACTCTGGATCTACAAGCTCAAGTTATTCCTCCAAGTTTTACTCTTCTTCTTCTTCACTACAAAACACCAACATACTCACTTTCAAGCTCAAATCTCACCAAATGCACTTAGGGTTTCGTTTTTAGGGTATAGGGAGATGGAGGCTGGTTAAAAGAATGTCCAAAGGTGGTTTAAGATGTTTAAATAGGGCATAAACCCTAAAAATTAGGGTTTGTCCCTGCCATGCATATGCCATGCGTAGTGGGTAAATCTCGCGATCATCTTCAACCCAGTATGCCCGGCGTACTCATAGCGTACACCCCGCGTACTCGCCTAGGGTCCAAAACCTCAAATCTTCCGAAGGCCATAACTTTTTCGTTCATCGCCAGATTCTGACTTTCTTTATATCCACGGAATGGTAATGAGAAAGTCTATAATTCTATAAATTCCCTTTTTCCTTAAAACATCCCGAGCTTATATCCGAAATCCTTAAAAGGCCAGAACTATCACTTTGCGGTTAAACCCTTGGGCTTCGAAACACAATTGAACTCTCGGAACACCTAATCTATAATACCCACAACCAAAAAGGGTCTGAAT